AAAAAAAAAAAAAAAAAAAGAAATTAGAAAAAACAGCGCTGGGGATTTAGCTCAGTGGTTCTGCCGCCTGCCTTCCAACCGCAAGGACCCGAGTTCAATCCCCGGTAACAAAAATAAAAAATTAGAAAAAACAAAATTGGAAGTGTAGAGAAGGAAGTCTCCCAGCTCTAGACAGTCACTGAAGGCATCTGGTCTATTTCCTGCCAGCTTTTTCCTACACGCTTTTTGGTGCCTAAAGCCTGGAGGCTGTGGGTGTATGGGGGGGCAGCTGGTATCTGAAGCCAGCAGCCAAAATGGCAAAGGGTCCCTGGTCCCCAGGGAGGGGGGATGGTTTGTCGCTGCTCCTCTGGCTCTGCCAGGACAGCCACTCGGGCTTCCAGAGAGGCGGGGACACGGTGACAGCAGTGTGCAGCTCCGCCTGTGACCCACCAGGGTCTGGCCTGTGAGGCGGCTGGCAGGCGCGGGGTCCAGTGGGGCGGGGCGTGCACTTCCGGGCAGCAGTGCAGGTGCAGCGGCTCAGCTGGCAGGTAGGCGCTGTCACCCTGGTCCTGCCCAGGTCCCCACTGGGCCGATCCCACTCCTCAGCCAGGGACTCGGGTGGCCCAGGCCGGCAGCCAAGGTGTGAGGAATTGACCACGGTCTACCCTCTCCTGGCCTCAGCCACCGCTCAGCTTCTGGCACTGAAGGATCTGGGTTTAGGGAGCCCGAGAGCTGCCAGCTGGTTAGAGACATAGCTGGGCAGCTACTGGTTCTACCTGTCCGCTCCTCTTGCCTGCAGCTGCTTGAGACCTGCTTTCTCTGGAGATTGCCCCCTCCTGAGTCCTAGGTGGGATGGGTGTAGCTCCGGGAAATCCAGGGTTGTAAGGCAGTGGCAATGGCAGCGTCCTGTGACTATGGGTGGGGCTCCTTGGAGGATGTGGAGGAGGCGCAGGAGGATCGGGACAAGACTGGAGGGGCAAGCCAGGGGAGGAGGTGTTAAGTCCAGAATCTGGGGGTGCTAATAAGGGTTGCTGGAGGCACCCAAGGCTGGAAACTTGTACCTGCGCCGTGGGGCCTGGGAGCCAGGTGGGAGGAGTTTACCTCGCCTGCCAGCTGTCAGGACGCCAGGGTTATCACAGGCCTGGCCAAGGGAGAAATACCTGATCAGGACTGGCCCAGTCCTTCCTCCTGGTCAGGCCCGGCTTGGGGCCCTCCAGGATGTGGTGGGGCCTCTTTCACCCCAAGGTTTCTCTTCTTGCTGCCAGGCACCAGTCCACGCACCTTACAAGGGCTCCTATAACCAGCCCTAGAGATCGATGTTCCCTGCTCTTGTTCTGCACTGGTTCATCCTGGGCTGCAGCTGTTCTCCAGCCCACTGGTCCCCAAGTGTGTCACCTGACCTGACCTGGGATTCCCCCAAGCCTGCAGCACATCCCGCCCCCACCTCTGCCACACCTCTTCCCAGCTGGAGTGCGAAGCCCTGAGCCCCACTTGCACCCCACCCCCATTCTTCTGCCCTCCCTTGGCTCCGCAGTCCCCATGGCCAGCCCTGGGAAGTTTGGGGCTGTGGAGGCCCGAGAGGAAGAAGGTGAGTTGGAGGCCTCTGCAGGACATGGTGGAGCAGTGCTGCAGCAAGCCCAAGAGCTCTTTTTGCTGTGTGACAAGGAGGCCAAGGGCTTCATCACCCGGCAGGACCTGCAGGTGAGCCCCGGTCTCTGTACCCAGCCACCAGGGCTGACCTGGGTGCTCATCCTACTCTCTGCCTGGTCAGGGTCTGCAAAGTGATCTGCGCCTGACGCCGGAGCAGTTGGAGGCTGTATTTGAGAGCCTGGACCAGGCACACACCGGCTTCCTCACTGCCCGAGAGTTCTGTCTGGGCCTGGGTAAGCCAGGCCTCCCTTCCCTGACCCTCCCAAGCTTGAGCTTCTGCATGTGGGCACAGGGTGAGGGTGGGGTCCTGCTGCCCCATGTGTAACCTGACTTTCCCCATACTCGCCCTTGCCAGACCCAGGTGGGGCTGGGACCCGGCTGTCACCACCCATTCCCAGACCAATAGGACCAGAAGGAACAAAAACAGGAAACTGGGGCTGGGAGAGGGCAGGATATGTGCATGGGGGTGGGGTGGTGGTGGGGGTTGGCACTGGAAGGCCAAGGTGTCAAAGCGGTCTCTGCTCTCTTCCGTGCTCCCAGGGAGGTTTGTGGGCCTGCAACCGGCTGGGGGAGCGACCCCCTCGCCGACTCCCGAGGAAATCTTCGAGTCTTCAGACCTACGAGGCTCCAGAGACTCCCTGGACCAGGAAGAGGAAGATGAGGAGGATGTGGAGCGATTCTGCGTTGTGCTGGAGCAGCTGGGGGTGGTCCGGGTTCTGGGCGAGTGAGTGCTGAGGCAGCAGCCTGGCCTGATTCTGCTGCCTGTGGGTCTGCACGCGGTCTGCAGCCCTGCTTATCACCAGGCCCGGCCAGGCCTGGCCTCCCCAGCTAACTGCCAGGGAGTGGCGGGACGTGATTTCCTTCAGAATTTGCATCTCGGGGAGGCTCTGGCCCTGGGTGGGACGGGCGGGCACCGGGTCACAAACAGGGAAGGATCTGCACCCTGGTGGAGAGAGCGGATCGGCCCCGTATGCCTCACCCTGTTGCCCCCTGCAGGCAGCGTGCCGTGAGGACGCTCTGGGCCCAGCTGCAGCTCGAGAGGCCCGAGCTGCTGGGCTCCTTCGAGGACGTCCTGCTGCATGCATCGGCCTGCCTGGAGGCGGCAGCCCG